TTTTTTTTTTTTTTTTTTTAAATTTTACTTTTGCAGGGTTGGGTTTTATTGAATTGGATTTTCCTTGACACCTGACGCAGCTCTTTTATTGCGCCTGAACAAAGTCAGGTTCTTGAATTGTTTTGGTAGCCCTTTCCTTTTGTGTTGCTCTTTTTTTAATTTTGATTTCTGAAGTATATCAATTGCAATTATTTTAGTACAAAATTAGTAAACATATTATTGTTTAGTTAATAAAAGGTAAATTGATGACTAGAAATCGGGCGTGTTTGTTTCCTTACCTTCCAATAATGTGAAATGTTTTTCATCTAATTGAAATTTTGCCCTTAAGAATCACCTTTTCATCTGGCAAGTTTCTTATTAGGTCTCTCTAACTTATCCTTTTGGTGCGGGAATAATAGGATAGAAAGTTTGCCCAATAAGCTGACCTTTTTGGAATTTCCGAGGATGAACTAGTGGCGAAATAATTGTTACTTTTTGTATGTCTTTTTGCAAAAAATACCTCCTTGTTACTCCATTAACTAAGTTTCTTATCTTATCAAAAAGAAAAAAAGAGTAAAAAGAAGAAGTATTTCCTTAGAGGATTACTTATTGTGGCTATTATCTTTCTTATCTCCTACTTCATTCTTAATGTTTTGTATCAGTTGGGCCTTTTGTCGGAGCTCTAAAGAACCAAAATATAAGATTGAATTTCTTCCGTAAGATTCACCTTTTCATCGGATAAGTTGCTTGTCATGTCTTTTACTTTTTGAAGTTCGATTAGACGCCTCTCATAAACTTTGTATGCCATTGAAAATTTAAGATTTTGATGCTTTTACATATGAAAGAAGTTACTGAAATAGTATAGATCCATGTTTGTGGAAATTGGGACCTAATGTGACCTCTTAGTCTCGCTCACACTGGATCATCCAAGAGTTTCATTTCATTTTGATGAATCACTGGTCTTATTTTGTAAAATAAAATGGCATATATAGATACATCATGTAGGTTGGACTTCTCTTTTTCTTTCATAAGAACCAAGTTCATGGTGCATTCCACAAGTAGTATTCATGCTTCATCATTGTTTAGTGTTCCTTAGATAAGACCACCAATTTATGCTTCAGTATTATCAAAAGCGAAAAGCTCTAAAAAGCATTCCAGGTCGATTGGGGCTTCAAGTGCAAAGCGCAACTGAAGTGCGGGCTTTAGTTAAAAAAGGCGCAATTAAGAGAAAAAAAATAAAATACACATGTAATTCAAGAAAGAAGTAACAAACCCATTCCTAATGTCTTTGTCAACAACTAATATGCTTATTTGTTGATAATATTTGTCGTTTAACACCGCTCGATTCAAGATAGAACTTATGGGAAATGAGGCGTACACCTTAGTGCTTTGCCTACATTGAAGCACAACTTAAGCAAGGCGAAGCACCCTCCCTGAGCTTTAGTGCTTAAGCGCGCCTTAAATGAGCCTTTGACAACACATGCTTAAACTGTTTGTATACGATATGCCTATCCGCTGTTTAACACCATTCAAATGAGACAACACTTAATGCTTAAATTGTTTTAGAACTTGTCCATTGTTTACTGTAAAACATATAATTTTCTTTACATTTCTCCTTCTTTTGATACGTCTTTGACTTCCACAGTTAATACTTTTAAGGGGATTGGTTATTGTTGTAATATTTTGACTTGGCTTAGAATTTTGTGGTTAATTTTAATGTGCTATGTTAGAGTTTTGATACATAAAAGACAGTGAGGCCTGCTACATAGGTTGCCACTTCATTTTCCGTATTTGAACTTAAGAATAAGAGGCATAAATAAAGAAAAGCCAGAAAAATGCCTTGATCTACATATGCTCAAATTGGATTAAAACTTTCTAATCCAATTTTATAAATAGAAAGTTTCTGAGTTGATATTGTAGATCATCAGACTAAGCAGATTAAGTATATTTGGCTGCATGTTCTTTTTATCTGGTATGTAAAAGGAAAGCAGCTATAAGCGAATCATTTTGATAGATCCAGAAAAGCTACATCTGACCTAGAAATTGTGTAAGCTTTTAGTTGTCTTTATTTCATTCAACATTTGTTATATCCGCGTGCCAACTTTGCCATGGTAAAAAGTAGGAATAATTTTATTAAGTTGCGTCTCTTTGTTTTTCCTTAACGAAATCTTTTCCTTTTTCTTTCCCGTATTTCATGCTGTAATATATATTCATAAATTTGTTAATTTCTATTTTTTTTTTCCTTCTAGCACAATCTCAGTATTCTTCAAAAATATTTCGAGGATTGTTGGGATTAGTTGGATGTAAGGATGGTTCTAACAACTTGGCATGCTAATGAAGATAAAATGTGAAGGCCGAAGACATAGTTTTGTATTCTAGGCAAATACTGGTCTTAACAAAGTAAATTGATCCATGGAAGAGCATTCTTAAAGTAGGTTGAAAAGCATTGTGAAGGTGAGTAATAAGAGAATGTATAATGAACTCACAAGAAAAGAAGAATACTTAAGTGAGGATCCAAGCTTCGTGGACCATACCTTGATCACTAGAATAACAAACAATTTGTTAGAACAAAGAATTAATTTGAGAACCCAAAAGAATTTGAAGATGTAATTGGAAGGATTTACAGCATCAAGGTAGTTGTAGGTATTTGTAGCAAGAAATGTTGCGGCCACAGTGATAGCAAGGAGTGCCAAAAGGAAAACAAACAAGCTTAACCATTCTTGAACTTCTTGGTGAAAATTGGCAATACTAAGCCTCTTTGTAGCTGGAATAGTGATTCAGAGGAGTCAGAGTGGTCAATATTTGTGTGTGCGCACGCTTTATTTTGTAGAAGTAATGTGGGGCTTGAATGCTTGATCCAAGAGCTATGCGTTACAAAATTATATAGGGCTTTTTGAGGTCCCTTGAAAAATGGAAGGAACAATGTAACACCAAATATTGGATACCAAGTTTGGAGCAGCCTTCCGATTGAGCCCACATGATGACCTGACTCACTTAAAGTGAATGTGCCTTTTTTGTTCAATGCTATGTCTTTCTCTTCTTAGTCATTTCTACTTATAGTATAACATTTGTGTTATCATTTTGTTTGTAGTGCTTATTGACCACTTTATCTGTACTATATACGTATTAATTTATACCTTTTTCTTAATATCCGACTCAAATAGTCCGAAAGTTTATGTGACTTGGAGCTGTAAAAGTTTATGTGACTTGAAGCGGGACAAGTTGCCTTATAAAAGTTGATCCTCTGATGTATCTGAAGGGTAGAAATGTTGAAGGCTCGCAGATGATCTTAAGCCTCGATTATTTTTATTATTTACAAACTCTGCTTAGCTCATATAATGCCAAACATTAAACCCATTACTTAGTTTTTGCCAAACTACTACTTAGGAGTGAACCAGCTTAATTGATGACAGGGAAATTATCTGTTACCTAAATCAGAAGATTACTTATATGACTCGTGATGATCAGTTTGAGCTTGAAACAACCAACACCAGCTCTCTACTCTAAAATATGTACTCGATGCTTTCTATGAAAGTGGACCATATTTGATTATTTATTGTACTTGATACTTTCTGTAAAAGTGGACCAAAGTAATTTCTTGAATTTATGAAATACTCTGCATGCAAATAAGCTGAGTTTGTTTCTTTTGATCTATTCTCATGAGTGTTGTGTCCTTTTCAGGTTTGTGATATTAATAGGTTACATATTTTGTTTTAGACAAGTGTAGGTAAAGATTGCAATGAGTAAGAACTTAAGATGTAGTCCAGTAAATTCTGCAGTTAATTTTCTCAGATGCTTATAATACTTCCAGCAAATATTTGTAATTACTGACATGTTGTTCATTCTTGGAGAAAGTGTCTCTCTTAGCAATGACTATGTTGAAGCTTTAAATAAACTTTTGAGAGAAAATCACGAATAACAAAAATAGGAAATTAAGTGTTCACATCATATCAGAGGAGAATTATGTTTTAAAAATCCATCTCAAGTTGTTTTTTTCATAACTAAAGTAAGAATGAAAATAGACCTTGATCAAATTGTTAGGCCCATGCTAGCACGGCCAATCCATATCTAGTATCAAATATAATTGGACTCCAAGTATTATTACGCACGAATTATGCCGATGTCGTACGGCCCGATCTAAATTATATATATANCATCCCGCTCCACAAGAAGAGAAAATACTTTATAGACGCCCAATTCAAGGATTATTAAGAGGCTAACACTCAAGGAAGCACCAATTCTTTTTAACGGTCAAGTAACCCGCCCAAAACTCAAGTATATGAAATTTGACATTTTAAAATTACTCCATCAAGTTCCAATATGATTTAAGCACTTAAATTAACAAGTAGGGTACAAACATCGCAAGTATAACATGATGTGGGTCATAAACTACCCGGACATAATCATAATTAGTAGCTACGCACAGACCCTCATCACCTCGTGCGTATGTAGCCCCCATAAATAGAAGCACATATTAATTGAATTCACCTATGGGGTTAATTTCCTCTTACAAGGTTAGAAAAAAGACTTACCTTGCCTCAAAGCTTACTTTTCGGTCTACAATTGTGCTTTAAACCCTCAACTCGGTGCCAAACGACTCGAAACTAGCAAAATGTTATATAAAATAATCAATACATGTTTAAAAGTTCATATTCTAACAATTAAAGTGATTCCCCAATCCTATTTGAAGAATTCCTAAAATTCACCCTCCCGGACCCACCTACCCAGATTCTGAAATTTATTGAAGAAAGTTGTTACCATAACCTCACGAACTCAAATATATGATTTTCACTAAATTCCATAACTATTTTCGTGGTTAAATCTCATTTTTATCAAAACCTAAAATTTTCATCTAAACCCATGATTTCAAAAATTTTACATGTTAAATCTACCCATAATCTATGTATTTAACTCACATTATATAGAAATTACTTACCTCAATATGTTAGGTGAAAACCCCTCTCTAAGAGCTCCAAAAATTGCCCAAGGAATGAAATAAATGAGCTCAAAATGCCTAAGTCCCGAATTAAATGAGGTTCTATTTTCTGCGATTTTCGCACCCGCGATATAATAGCCGCACCTGCGGTTCCGCTTCTACGAAAAAACCATGCAGGTCAAGGCCAGGCTGATCCCCTTCGCTTATGCGCCCAGCTGGTCATACCTGTGATAAAATCACACCTGCGATGTTGCCCGCTTTTGCGGTTGCTTCCTTCGCACCGCCTTCGCAGGTGCGGTCCCCGGCTTGCTTCTGCGATCAGTGGGCTGCCCTTTGCTGGCCCGCTTTTGCAGCAAAAGGCTCGCTTCTGCGAGGTCGCACCTGCGGATGGCCAAGCGCATGTGCGATTGCAACAGAAGCTGGGAGCTTCAGTTGTTGCTCCCAAGTTCCAAACTTGGTCCAAGCCTCATCCGATTAACACCCGAGGCCCCCGGGGCCCCGCTTGAACATACCAACAAGTTTGAAATCGTAAAACGGAAATGCTCGAATCCTTGGAACAGATAAAATAATATCAAAACTAAGAATCATACCCCCAAACCAAATCAAGTCAACCTAAGAACTTCAAGTTCTTCAAACTTACTCCGAACGCGCCGAAATCCACTTAAACTACTCGGAATGACACCAAGTTTTGCGTGCAAGTCTTAAATCACCATACAGAACTATTCTTAGGCTCGGAATCCCAAGTGGACCTCGATAACACCAAATCCTACTTCAAACCAAATTTAAAGAACTTTGAAACTTTCAAAGAGCCAACTTTCACTATTAGGTGCCGAAACTCTCCCGGGTCATCCCCAAGTCCAAAATCATCATACGAACCTATTGGGACCGTCAAATCCTGATTCTGAGGTTGTTTTCTCAAAACGTTGACCAGAGTCAAACTTAGCCCTTTCGCCAACCTTAAGGAACTAAGTGTTCCGATTTCAACCTGAACCCTTCCAAATCCTGAACTAACTATCCCCGTAAGTCATAAAAATAGTAAAAGCACATACTTGGAGTCTTATTTAGGGGAAAGGGATCTAGAAAGCAAAACGACCGATCGGATCTTTACATTCTCCACTTCTTAAATAAATGTTCATCCTCGAACGGGTCTAGAATTATACCAGTAATGCTGAATAAGTGTGGATATCTACTCCGTATTTCCTCCTCGGACTCTCAAGTCGCCTCCTCGACTAGTTAGCCCCTCCACTAAACCTTTACCGCGTAAATCCTCTTGTACCTCAATTGGTGAACCCGTCTATCAACAATGGCAACTGGCCCCTCCTCGATATACTGGGAGGCAAAGGAAGCTGATAAGCAACCTCCCCAACTCGTCTCAACACCTCAAATGGACCTATAAACCTTAGGCTCACCTTGCCCTTCTTCTTGAACCTCATGATCCCCTTCATCGGCGAGACCTTCAAGAGAACCTTCTCGCCCACCATAAATGATAAGTCACGCGCCCTCTAATCCGCGTAGCTCTTCTATTTGGACTGTGCTATGTGAAGTCGCTCCTGAATTAACTTTATCTTTTCCAAGGCATCTTTCACCAAATCAGTACCATATAACTTAGCCTCGTCGGGATCAAACCATCCGATGGGTGAACAACATCGCCGACTATATAAAGCCTCAAATTGAACAATCTCGATGTTGGACTGATAATTGTTGTTGTAAGAAAACTTGGCCAAGGGCAAGAATCGATCTCACTGCCCTGCAAAGTCAATCACACATGCGCTGAGCATATCTTCTACGATCTGAACTGTCTGCTCCGACTGCCCGTCGGTCTGCGGATGAAAAGCTATGCTGAGCTCTACACGGGTCCCCAACTCTCTCTGTACAACTCTCCAGAAATGTGAAGTAAACGGAGGGCCTCTATCTAATATGATAGAAACGGGCACTCCATGCAACCGAACTATCTCCTGAATATAAATCTGGGCCAACTTCTCTGAAGTATTCGTGGTCACAACCGGAATGAAGTGTGCCGACTTGGTTAACCTGTCGACAATGACCCAAACTACATCAAACTTCCGCAAGGTCCGCGACAGCCCAACTACGAAGTCCATAGTAATGCGCTCCCATTTCCACTCAGGTATATCCATCTGCTGGAGTAGGCCACCTAGACTCTGGTGCTCATACTTAACCTACTGGCAATTTAGACACTTCAAAACATACTCAACTATGTCCTTCTTCATCCGCCACCACTAATAATGTTGCCTCATATCGCGATACATATTCGTAGAACTTGGATGAATAGAATATCGAGAACTGTGTGCCTCCTCTATAATCCTCTCCCTCAAGCCATTGACATTAGGAACACATAGGCGACCCTGGAGTCGCAGGACACCATCCTCGCTGATAGTAACCTCCTTGTCTCCACTCTGTAGTACCGTCTCTTTAAGAACCAAGAAGTGCGGATCATCAAACTAACGAGCCTTGATCTGCTCCAATAGTGAAGACTGGGCAACGATGCATGCAAGAACTCAGCTGGGCTATGAAATATCCAACCTCACAAGTCTGTTAGACAAGGGATGAATGTGCAAAGCTAATGCCCTCTCCTCCGCTGAAATGAATGTCAAGATACCCATACTCTCCGCCTTTCTGCTCAAGGCATCCGCAACTATATTCGCCTTGCCCGGATGGTAAATAATGGTAATATCATAGTCCTTTAGTAACTCAAGCCACCTACGCTGTCTCAAATTGAGATCCCTTTGCTTGAAGAAATGCTGCAAGTTGTGATGATCGATGTAAACCTCACATGACACTCCATAAAGATAGTGCCTCCAGATCTTAAGAGCATGAACAATAGCGGCCAACTCCAAATCGTGTACCGGGTAATTCTTCTCATGGGGCTTCAGCTGACATGAAGCATATGCAATAACTCGCCCCTCCTGCATCAATTCACAACCCAGACCAACGCGTAAAGCTTCGTAATACACAGTATACATCCCCAAACAGGAAGGCAACACTAGAACTGGTGCCATAGTCAAAGCTGTCTTGAGCTTCTGAAAGCTCGCCTCATAATCATCGGACCAAGGGAATGGAGCACCCTTCTAGGTCAATCTAGTCAAAGCGGTTGCAATAGATGAGAAGCCCTCCACAAACTGGCGATAATAACCTGCTAACCCCAAGAAGATCCTAATCTCAATCGTCGTAGTAGGACGTGGCCAACTCTGAAATGCCTCGATCTTCTTGGGATCGACCTTAATACCCTCGCCTGAAACAACATGCCCCAAGAATGCCACATAATCTAACCAAAACTCACACTTGGAGAACTTAGCATATAGCTTCTATTCCCGCAAGGTCTGAAGCACCATTCTCAAATGCTGCTTGTGCTCCTCCATGCTGCGCGAGTAGATCAAGATGTCATCAATGAAGACAATGACAAATGAATCAATATACAGCTTGAACACCTTGTTCATCAAATCCATAAAGGTCGTTGGCACGTTAGTCAAACCAAAGGACATCACTAGAAACTCATAATGGCCACATCTAGTCTGGAAAGCAGTCTTCGGAACATCCGAATCCCGAATCTTCAACTGATGGTACCCCAATCTCAAATCGATCTTGGAGAACACCCTGACACCCTACAACTGGTCAAACAAATCACCAATACGTGACAACGGGTACTTGTTTTTTATGGTAACTTTGTTCAACTGGCGGTAATCAATGCACATCTGCATAG